CACCAGATGGAGCTGTGTGCAAGCTGTAGGGCCCATGTGTCATTCAGAAAGACAAATACAGAAAAAGTGGAAACAGAGAGCTTGGGGAGGTTGAGTTGGAAATGGAAATCCTCAGTAGAATCCAGCACCTGACAGTAGACTCTAAGTCATGTCAAAATTTTACCGAGTGCACTCAATGTGCCGTAGCTGAGGCTTAGCCCTGAAAATAATGAGCCGAACACATTACCTGGTAGAAGTGGGATGGACCACTGCTGGGCCAGTCATTCGTATACTGCTCAGAGACAGGAACATACTCTGAGAAATGCATCCATCAGCCACTTTCTCACTGTAGAGGAGCCCCCAGGAGCTCCTCCTTTTCTAGTCATTGCACTCTCCCAGTGATATCAAGAATTCAAATCTAGACTTGGATCTAAATTTCAATCTAAATCAGCATGCAGGCTGACAGCAGCTCTTCACCTCTTCTGCTCCTCCAGATCCAATCCCCTAGTCTCAACCCATGCTCTATAGAAGATTACCTGTTACAACCCTCCTTTCCTTTCCGACCCAGTCAACAATGGATTATAAAGATCATCTCCTCCAACTTCACTTCCCCCAACTCATCCCATTATCTCAGCCACCAATACCAGCAGGCGTTCCCTGGAATCACACCAAGGACTACTTCCTAATCATTTATGGCAAATGAATGTTACTCATATTACAGAGTGTGGCAAGCTGAGATATGTGTGTGTGTGACAACTGATACATATTCAGGATTCTTGGTAGCCACTATACAAACTGGAGAGACCAGTAAGCGTATAATAACCCATTGCTTAAAATGCTTCTCATATACGGAAACACCCAAAATCATAAAGATGGATAATGGGTCCGGGTACATTAGTATAGTAGTTCAGCAATTTTGTGCCCAGAAAAATATCAAACATAAGACAAGTATTCCTTATAATTCTCAAGGACAAGGAATTGTGGAGTGTGCCCATGGTTCCTTAATAATACAACTTCAAGATAAAAACAGGAGAATTCTACCCTCTGTTATTCTTAAAAATGATTCCGGGTTGGCAGGAGCCCGCCATGAGAAAGCGGCTACAGGAGGGCACGGTGTGGCGGCAGGTAACAGACACGTAAACACAGGAAGAGGGAGAAAGAAAGACAGAGAAAAGAGATAAAAGAAGAGAAAAGAGATAAAAAGAAGAGAGAGACAGAGAAAACGCGTGCGCACGCCAAGGAAGCAGAAAGAGAAAGGGTCCCAAGATGGCGATGGGCAGGTCAGAGGTTATGGGAGTGGGCGTGGCTAGGACAGGGACCGAAAGAATAACACCCTCAGTCACCACATAATGCCTTAAGTTGTGCACTTTTTACTCAAATTTCTTCAGTATGGATGTCTGTAAGCAGTCTGCCATGGACAGACAATTTTGGCATGATGGCACCAATGTGATTTTCACTAAACAAGGTGAAAAGATCCTTGCACTGGATTATGGAAAGGAACTAACCCTGTATTAATTTGGGATAGAAGATATGTCTGTGCTTCATTCACAGAAAGAAAATAAAGCTTGATGAGATGAGTGCATGTACAATAGAAGGGTGCCAGCCCCGATGACATCGTAGCTGCTAATGCTCCCACAAAGAGTCAAAGTGAGAGCCTGCGCTCCTGACTTCCTCATACCACCATGCTGCAGGCCAAGAAGGGAAGGAAGACTGTGATGATGGCGATTCTTGGGCTCTTGATGGACATGCTGTGCAAACATCCAGACCTAGTGGATTCTGTTTACCTTAGAGTCAGTCCAAAAATTCCAACTGAACATTTGGCTGTTTTATACTTTGGGACACATAACTCAGATTGCCAGTGAGATGTTCAATCTGCTGTTGAAATGTTGAAAGAACTTGAGAACTGAGACCTCAGTTTTCCCTGTTCAGAGATGAGGAAGATAGCCTAAAGTTTTGCTGCGGCTCAGGGACAGTTACTTAAGAGCAACCATGGCAATTGGACTCTCATCCATCACAGAAACCTTTTCTTGTCTTTTGATTAGAACAGATTTAAGAAAATTATGATTTGATAAGTTGTGTGTTTATTGTTAATTTCCACACTTAAGTTATGGTATTGACCTGTTAATGTTTGTAACTGCTTTAGTTCACTATAAGATGTTATTGACCAAAAAAAGATTAGAACTTGTCTAAGAGAAGTTGTACATTACCAATGAGTCCTTAGATTTGACATGTTTGATGAGACAAGTTTAGCTAAAAAACGTTTAAAAAAAACACCCTAGACCAATTCAAAAGGACATTCCCAGTCCTGGTGATCCCCCACTACTTTAATTGGACGATACTATAGCCACAGATGTATGTGTAGCACAAAGTATTACCTGCTTACTTACCATCATCTAATTGCTGAATGAACTGACTTGGCAGAAACTTGGCTCAGGGATGCAGAGCCCAGAGGTACACTCTCCCTTAACCCTTTGCTTGCAGAGGTCCCAGTCAGTCATAGACAAGTGAGATCCTTCCTCCCCACCCCAGGTGCCTAAAACAATGGGCATGCAGGATTAAAATGCACGTACTGAAGACAGATAAGTCTAAAAATTGGAAAAATGTATACCTAAGCAGACATGATCATCTGTCCTGTTGCAGAAGCAAGGCTTTATTAAAATTAATAAAGAGGGAGGACTATGTGGAGCCCAGAAAACAGGAGCCTATTTCCATCAAAGGTCAGAGAGTTGGAACTTCTGTTTCTCCAAGGTTATTACGTTTCTACAGCAAACAAAGGCCCCACCTTGATTTAGTTCGGCTTTCTCAAGGTTATTGTCAACAGGTGTGGCTAATACCTAGATATTCCAGGTATTGAGAAGTAGATTGTTTCAACTTCGAGCAAAAGTCTAAGGATCCAACTAAGTTCCTACTCCCTTAGGGAGATAACTGTGGATTCCACCAAGGGAGTGGTTTGCTTCAGAATGTTTTGGTCTAGGGTGTGAGCAACAGAACGTTTAACTAAGAATGTAGCCTACAATATTCAACTGGTCTATTCATTTCCTTGTATCACATTATTGTAGTTTTTATCTTATTCCTGCCTTTTGGGGTCAGGGTATTTTAATCAAATGGAAATTAAACATGGATGATTTCAGCATTCACAGGAACTCCCTCCTGGTACTATCCTATGTTCCTTCCTTCCTTTCTTTCTTTCTTTCTTTCTTTCTTTCTTTCTTTCTTTCTTTCTTTCTTTCTTTCTTTCTTTCTTGATTTTCTGAGACAGGGTTTCTCTGTGTAACAGTACTAGCTGTCAACTAGCTCTGGAGACCAGGCTGACCTTGAACTCACAGAGATCCACCTGTTTCTGCTTCCGGAGTGCTGGGATTAAACCTGTGCGCCACAACTGCCTGGCTTTGTTGTATTATTTTCACTCACGTCTTCATTCTCTTTACTTATTTTTCTAATCCCCATGACCCTACCCTGGTAAGTGGTATCTTTGTTGAATCTGGTCTCCGAAATGAACCTAAGAAACAAGGTGGTGTAGCCATTTTACATCTGACAAAATATACTTCAAACCAAAACTCACCAGAAGAGATAGTAAAGACACTATATATTCATAAAAGGAAAACAAAGAAACAAACACCACCAAGAGGACACAGCAATTCTTACAATCTATGCCCCAAGCACAAGAGCACCCAAGTTTGTAAAGGAAACTCTAATATAGCCTGAATCACATATTGACCCCCACACACTGATAGTGGGAGAGTTCAATTCACTGTCATCAATGGACAACCAGATAAATACTTAACAGGAATGCTGGAACTAACAGAGATTAAAAAACAAATGAATCTAACAGCTATTTACAGGATATCTTTCCCAAACACTAAAGAATATACATTCTCTGAAACTCAAGAAATTTCTACAAAATTTACCACATACTCAGATACAAAGCAAGTCTTAAAAAACACAAGAAAACTGAAATAACTCCATACATCCTACTAGATCACCACAGTTGGCTGGATGTCGACATCATAAATAACAGAATGCTTATAAGCTCGTGGAAATTGAACAACTCTCTACTGAATAAAAAATGGGTCATGGGTGAAATTAAGAAAAAAATTAAAAACTTTCTAGAATTAAATGAAAATTAAGACACAACATACCCAAACTTAAGGGCCAGGGTGAAGGTGGTTCTAAAAGGCAAGCTCATAGAGTTAAGGGCCTTCATGAAAACAACAACAACAAGCTGAAGAGTTATCATCCTTAGTGACTTAACAGCACACCTGAAAGCTCTAGAACAAAAAGAAGAAATCACCTAGAAGGAGATGGCAAGATATAATAAACTCGGGACTGAAATCAATAAAATAGAAACATGAGAACTATTGTTGGTTGTTTAGTCATAGGTGCCACAGTAGAGAGAGAAGCTCACCAATATGCTAAGCTTTCATTTTCCGAAGAAGCAGAGGGTAGCACCTTCTTGGAAAAGGCTGACACCCAACTAACTCACTTCAGTCACTTTATTCAAATATATACAAGGTTAATTGGAGCTGGAGAAAGTTCCAGCTACCAGAGTTAGCTTGCTTCTGCTGCCCGTGAGAGCAGACAACTCATAAAAATATCAGTTTCTTTTGATGATGTCAAGCCATCATCAAATGTAAGAACTCCAGGTCTACCAGAAGTGTCTTAGGATCAAGCTTGGTATAGCTTCAAGCTCCCACAGAGCACCAAGTGCAGACTTCAGAGAAACATTTCTTCTAGGTTTAGACAGTCTCAAAACAATTTCTCAGTCTCTACTGATTAACCCAATCATAACAAAGCTTTCCTGAAACATTTCTCTCAAAGTAGACACAACGACTTTACTTACATATCACTACAGAGATCCAAGAAACAAAGAGTTGTTCTTTGAGAAAAGCAGTAAGATCAACACACCCTTATCCAAATTAACTAAAAGGTGGAGAGATAATATCCAAATTAACAAAAGCAAAAGTAAAAATCAGACTCAGTAATAGACATGGAAAATTCGAGAGAATCATAGAGACAAACTTTATTAACCTTTATACGAACAATACTCTTTACCAAAGTAAGTCAAGATCAGATAAGCAGCTTACATGGAACTGTAACCCTGAGTGAAATAGAAGTCATTAAAATCTCCCAATCAAAAAAAAAAGCCCAGGTTCAGATGATTTTAACCCAGAATGCTACAAGATTTTCAAAGAAGAGTTAATGTCAATACTCCTCAAACTATTTTACAAAATAGAAACAGAAAGAACATCACCCAATTCATTTTACTAAGCCATGGTTACCCTGATACCCACATCACATAAAGACCCAACAATGATATCCTGCTGGACTCCTAGATCAGTGCCGTCATCAGAGAATCTCTTCCCTGCCGAAGACAGGAACAGGTGTAGAAACCCACGGTCAGACTATATGCGGGGAGGGAGAGATCTTGGAACAAACAACTCTAAATGGAATGTCTCCATCAAATTTCTCCCCTCAGATCTCAAGGAACCCTGTGGAAGAGGGCTGGAAAGAGGAGTGTAAGAGCCAGGGAGAGAACAAGGCCCTTTGAATTAACTGAGCAAATCTCACAGAAGCTCACAGAGACTGAAGCAGCAAGCAGGGCCTACATGAGTCTACACCAGGTCCTCTGCATATATTCTAAAAATTTCAGTTTAGTATTTTTATAGAACTCCTGAGTGTGTGCATGATTCTTGTGTCTTCTCTTGGGTTCTTTTCCTTCTGTTGGTTTGGCTTGTCCAACTTTTGGTGATGGTTTTGTTTTAGCTTATTGCATTTTATTTTATGTTTTGTTGTTATCTATTGGAAGTCTGTTCTCTTCTAATGAAACAGAAAGGGAGTGGATTGGATCTGGATGGGAGAGGAGGTGGGAGGAACTGAGCAGAATAGAGGGAGCAGTAACTGTAATGAGGATATACTGTATAAGAAAGAATCTATTTCCAATAGAAGCTCCCCCCAACCCCAAACTAACCAAACAAACAAACGAAAAACAGAATCACTTTAAGAATTAACATATATTCTTTAAAATATACAAGTAAAATTCAAGTATGTAATAATGTCAGAATTTTCTCCCACTGCCGAGGCAACATAAAGCAACACAATTAATAATAAACATTGCATTTTCTCCTTGTCACACCTTATGAATACGACCCTACTTTACAGAGAATGAAGAGAGGCCACACGAGGAAAGGCTGCTGCTGTGGGAATAACACTAAATCTGGACTTGAACCCAGGAACCCTGTGACCTTCATTCCTCCTAAGACTCCCTCCTGCCCCTTCATAACCCTTGGCTTAGGAAGCCACTGATCATCACAATCTGCCCCTAACTTACGCTGTCCTCAGCCATGCCTTCCTGGGACGCCAGGCAGTGCTGGGACACCTGGCACAAGGAGTGTCAGCACTTGCGGATCTTGATCTCGGTGTAATCAGACTTGATGGTCTCCGTGTTCTGAGGCTGCCTGGGCTTCAGGTTATGGAAGGAAAGGGAGGCGTAGTGGAGTTCAGGCTCATCCGCGAGAGTGTGTAGGACTGTGGCAAAAGGTGGCCGATCTTTCTGGTTTTGTGACTCTGATGCATTCAGGTGACCCTGGAACCCAATTATAGAAGGGCATCAGTCAAGACTTTACAGATGGCATCAAAAATCACCAAAGGCACTTGGGGCTTAGCTGTGTGTTTGTTCATGATCTACTTCCCGTGCATTTCCTGAGTCTTCACTCCATGCTTTCACTCATTACCTTAACTTGATGACGTGTGAACATGAATATGAGTATGTGTCTACACCCCTTCCCTACGTTCCCCCAGGATATACCTATGTGCACACAACAGCATCCACAGCACTGTGATCAAACCCAGGACCCTGCACATAGTAAGCAAGGACTCTAACAACATGATGCACCCCATCCCCAGCTAATTTTAATTAGCTCTCTGAGTCCTCACAACCCCCTTCTTTCCCATTTATGGATATAAACATAGTCTGGTTCAGGCTAAGTAACTCACAAAAGACAGCATCAGATTGTCACAAACAAATGAAGGAAAAGCCAGATGTGTCTGCCAGCAATCCTATCACTTGGGAGACTGTAGAAGGAAGATTGTGTCTGGGACAAGTTCTGGCTTCACAGTGAGTTCCAGAACAGCCTGGCCTACACAGAAACCCCCAAATCATAAGTCAAACTTCAAAATAAAATGAAAACTTAATCTAATTGTAATCTGGTGGGCAGAAGCGGGAAATTACAGCAAGCTCTCAAAAAGCTAGGATTAGACCCATCCTGCTCTGGTGGGGCTCACAGTATGTGGAGGGAGCAGGGAAGATCGAGACTACAAAAGGCAGGTCTGCCTGCCTGAGCTGGAGATATTTTAGCTGGGCGGGCCCTCCAACTCTGATCCACACCCCCACCCCAGGTGGTTCTAAACCTTAGTCACAAACGGAGCCCTCACTGGTAGGCTCTATGCAGGCGCTCCACATCTGTGCCACAGCCTGTTTCTCATTGGTGGATACCAGGCAAGTTCACTGTGGAGCCCCATTCCTGGCTCTCTCTTCTCACGTTTGATTTCATTTGTGTCTCATAGTCCCTGGTAGGCCCTCAACTCTCTAGGCAGTTCATGCTGGCCTTGCACTCCCCATACCCCTGCCTCAGCCTCCTGAATGCTGAGGTCTGCCCACCATGCCCACTTGGCATTCTAGTACTGTTTAATGACATGCGTTTGATGACATGCGTTTGAACTGTTAGGATCAAGCCGAACTCAGCCGCTGTGTTTGGAATTCCTTTCTGAAAGTTAAGTCTGGGCTGATGAAGACAGCACCGAGGCCCAGGGAAAGGCTGTGAAGACTTGACAGGAAGTAGCTATGTGGGGAGAGCTTTGCTGACAGTAATAATAGGCAGTCCTGTGTAAATACGGGTAGCAGGAAGTAGAGGAGGGGACAAATGCCAGGTCCTCAGCCTGTGGATGCAGAAGAAAAGCTGGATATTGGGGAGACATTTGGGGAAACACAAGCTCAGTTTGGATACCTGGGTAGGGTATCTCACCAAAATGCCAGACGAAATCATGCTTGAGACAGGGCTCCCAGCAGGAGGATTGCCTTCGATGCTTGCTACTTTCAGGGCTGATTTCTTTCTGAGGAGCTTCACGCTGGATAAAGAGATCAGTTTGTTTTCTGATGGATGGAGTTTCAGACCAGGACAGACTAGGCACAGGGTCTACAAAGGGGGCTGCTCTGTGTTAGAGATCCTCAGTGCACGGGACTGCATGATCTGAACAGACCCTGCTAACCCTGACCCTGGCTGGGTCTTCATGGTTCTTTAAGCAGAGGCCTTACCGAATGGGGCCACCACTCACATGAAGAAGATGAGGCAGAGGCAGACAGCCATGAGACCAGCTCCTCCCACGGCCCCTTGGAGCACTCCTATACTGGGTTCTGGTTTGTCTGTTAACAAGAAAGGCCTGGGTGATGGAAAGTTTTCCTCTCAAGCAATCATCTTAGCAGCCAACTTTCTGCAGCTCGTTATTTACAAGAATGTCCACTCCCACTTTGGTCTAGGTCCATTCTTCCCTATGGGTGTATGCATGTACAGCTTCCTATCCCTAGACCTCCTACCAACTCAATAGAGAGGAAACTGTGAACACTAGCCCCGGTTAAGCCAAGTCAGCCCAATTTGTTCACTCAGACGTCTTGCACAACCCAGATATTACCCTTTGTGACCTCTTGACCTGGCAGCAGCAACACAGTGGCACTCTGAACCTCATTGTAGTTCCAAGCCTCACAACGGAGTCTGTGACCAGCGCTGAACTCCTTGCTGAGGATCAGGGAGCTGTTGGCCCATGGTCCTGAGGAGCTGGAGGTGACCTGGAAGGAGTTGTTGCTGCTGTTCCCCTCGAGCAGCCCCTCCCCCAGCCACCAGCGCAGGGAGGGGGCGGGCCAGGCTCTGGAGGAGCAGCTGCAGTGGAGACCCTCAGCTTCCCAGGAGCAGGAGGGTGCCAGCAGCTGTAGAAAACCTGGAGAATGGAACACAAAGAGAGGCATCACAGGGGCTTTCCAAGCTGTGATTGCAATGCCCCACCCCCATGATCTTCCAACTCACTCCTTATGATGAGGCTCACAGAGGCCACCTGAGCACCTAGACTGTTCTGAGCTCCACAGACATATTTTCCATGGTCTTCCAACTCCACCCTTGGCAGCCATAGTTCCTCGTTGGAGAGCTGGATGTGCTTCTGGGTCTGTTGCTCCCACTTCAGCATGGCAGGGGGGTTGCTGTCGGCAGCACAGACCAGGCGCAGGGACTCACCCTCTTGGATATGCAGAGATGAGCCACTGTGCAGGGTTTCAGGTTCTGAGGAGGCACAGAGAAGGCTTGAGCCCATCACAGGGGGCTTTTGCCTTTCTCTCTCCTCCCTTTACCACACCTGTCTTCTCTTCTGCTGGCTGATGGCCTCACACCCTAAAGAGTGGATAGTCAGTATCTCTTAGAAGTGTGAGACCAGCAGAACTACTTTAGGTTCCAGTCTTCTCTGCCAACTTAGATGCCTTACTTGCCCTGGAGAGTTTGTCCTTCTGTCTCTCAAGGGCGTCTCACTAAGGCCTGCCTAACTCAGCTACGTCCTAGGAGCTCACAGTCCCAGTAGTAGGTGCCTAAGGCAGGCATGGTACAGGATGTGGTCGCTTTTATAGGGGATCTGTCTCCAAAGCTCAGGGAGATTCTCAGGACAAGAAGGTCTTCCAGGAGGAGGACAGCTGAGGGAGAATGTGAAAGACAGTGGGGCTGTCCAGGGACAATGCCATAGTGTTCTGCCCATGGTGAGACAAAATCGCCCTACGCTAACTGTAGGGCACTGAAGTCCCTTCACCTACCGAACAGATGACTTTGGAAATTATCACAGAAGACTTATTGTTATTATTTGGAAATTATTATTGTTATAATTTGGAAATTATCACAATACAACTTATTGTTATTATTATTTTCGTGAGAGAGGGTCTTATTTACCTCAGGCAGCTTCATACTTATGGAGATGAGGGTGACTTTGAGTTTTTGAGCCTCCTGCCTCCACCCCTCAAGTGCTGGGTTTGTGGGAGTGCAATTACCATGCGCAGCTTATGCAGAGCTGGGGATTTCACCCGAGGCTTCCTGCACACTAGGATAGCACTCTACCAACGGAGGCACAGCCACAGCCCAGAAGCAATACTTAAACACCACAAAAGAGACTCGGTTTCTTGAGAGGATAAAGAGAATGAAAACTACGGTGCCGTGACTTCATCTGTGGCACGAGGGAGGGTGGGGTGCTGGTTAAGAGAGACACCGTTCCTGGGATATGCATAAGACAAAGTCCATGCTGTGCAAATTGGCAGCATGTGTGTGAAATTCAAATGACCTGGAATTTTCTACCTCAGGAAGTCATTTTATAGACATGGTCACGCAAATAAAGTTTTCTTGTAAGTCACTTATTGAATAAAAGTCAAGGAATGCCAGTTTTCTGTCAAGAGATAAGAGGGTAAATGTGCTATCATATCATTAGAAAACCACGGAGTTACTAATATGTGTGAACAAGAAAGTCTCTAAGAAAACTACGTCTAAGGGGAAAAAATTAATTCAGTCACTTGCCATTGCTTGACACATGTATTGTGCCCGGGTAGGCTTGACCACGAAGGCACCGTAAAGATAAGTAAGAGTTAAGTTTATATGAAGAAGCAAGAGGTGAGACTTTAGACAACCTCAAATATTAGGGCAGGCAGGCTTTATTTTAATGCCAGAGGGTGTCTGTACATGGGTTACAGATCAGGGAACAGAACTCAGAAATACAGAGACCAGAGTTCAGGAAGGTGTAGATTACATGCTTCAGGCTGGGGGTTTGATGGCCAAGGGCAGGAAACGGGAAGAGCAGAATGAGGAAGTTAGCAGTTTCCTGTAGACTAGCAGGGGCCAGGGTCTGTTGTCTCTTTTTGCAACTGAGTGTCTGGGGTGGGGATCAGCTGCTTTGCTTCTGCAATCCCTAACCTTGACTTTTGCCAGGAGTTAGTTTCTTTAGGAACTTTATTAACAAAGGGTTTAGAGTGCAGCCCAGTGCTTTAGTTCCATCCTATATAAATAAGTAAATAATAAATAAAGAAGAAATTGATAAAGTTGTAGTGTGTGAAGAAGATATGTTTCTCCTCCTACCCCAGGGCTTCAGTGTGTGTTTGTGTTTGTGTGTGTGTGTGTTTAAATGTGCATACAAGACTACCTGTGTATGGTCAACCGAGACAGGAGAATATTAGACACTAAAAGCTATTACTATTAATTTTTTATATGGGCAAAATTATATTGCACTAAAATCCATATATATTGGAGCCCCAACCACCAATATAATAGCAGTAACTGGGAGGTAATTAAGGTAGATGAGATCGTAGAATAGATGTGCCGATGGTGGAATTAATGGGGCTATAATAAGACAGCAGAGTGCTTGTGTGGTCTGTTTCTGCTGTCTGAAGACAGGGGTAAAGAGAAGACCACCTGTAGCACAGGCAGGATACCATTACCAGGAACCAGGCAGACAGAGGAGCACCTTCAGAGGTAAGGAGCCTGCTTCTGCTCTAGAAGTCACTTCCTCTATCATGTTACAGAGGTGGAGGCAGAATAAGATACATGTCACACCAAATTTGACAAAATCACCTCACAGAGAGGAAGGGAGCTGGGAAAGGGGAATGAGGGCAGGCTGGGAATGAAGACACAGTCTTGGCACTGGAGACTACCATCTGTGTCTTGAGAAACACAGAAGCCATGGGCATCTCAGGGAGAGTGCAATGTGTGGGTGAAGTGAGAGGGGATACCGTATCACCCCCTTCTCCACCCTGAACCTCTTCCTGCCTGAGCTCCAGAACATCTGCTCATCTCTGGGGGCAGTAGTTCCTGCACCCATCCCAGGGAGGAGAAACTTCGCCCTACCTGTGTTCTCTGCCCGGGACGCCCTGATGGTCAGCTTCTGTGGAGCATCTGGGCAGACAGATACGGCCGTTCTCTTTTCAGAGAGGAGGTGGCTGCTGGCATTTCACCCCCCGTGCTCTTTTCTTCCCCCACACTCCTAGCTTTCAGGACCCATCCCCCAGTTCTACCCACTCCATCCTGCACCTTACTATCCCATCCCCCCAAACCCTGGTTTCTGGCTTGGCACTCACAGGTGACATTGAGTTGTTCAGTCCTCTCCACAGTGACACCAACACCAGGGAAGGCCACCTGACAGGTGATGTTAGTGCCGTGGTCCCGGGGCTGGGGTGTGAGCTTCAACTCTGAGGAGAGGGTGGTCCCAGGGCCCAGGGAGGTGAGGGCAGATGCCATCCAGGAGAAGACGGGGGGTGTTCCCCTCTCACAAGCCCAGGGCAGAGAACAGATCAGTTGGGTGGAAGTGCCAGACACCAGGGTAGGCATAATTTGGAAGTTAGGGGTCGCAGTCAGAGCTGGACAGAGAGAGGTAGGGACACAAGACATGGTGGGGATCACTATGTGTGACTCCACTTCAAGTCAGGCTACCCCCCCCCCCAGTCAGCTTCGTTATCTGGTCTGAGGACACCCAGAGCTTTGGGACAAGGACCCCCACACAAGCCCTCATCACATACCTATCACATTCACAGAGAGCATCAAGTTCTTCGGAACCTTAAAACTGTACTTCACTTTGTTACCGTCATCCACCCTGAAGAAGTAGACTTGTGTGTCACTTCTCTTCACGTCTCTGATCTCCAGGGAGCAGTTACGGGTATCTGGGCCCCCCATGAGATGAAATCGACCTTGAGCTTCCTTCTGAACTGGTAGATTTGGGTTATTTGTAGCCACTGGAGGGTGGTTGTTTGGATCGGCCTTCTCCTGGAACCAGTAGCCAAAAGCAGAACTACTGGAAGCCGGGAAACGGACTTGGCAGGACACATAGATGCACAGACCCTCCTGTACTGTTACCGAACTGGGGGTCAACTTGAGCTCATACTCCGCCGTCTCAACCAGGGACCCTGCAAATAAATGAGAGTTATTTCGGTCCTGTTCCACCAGCCCTATAGCTATCCCTACTCACCTGCCCAGAGCAGACACAGCAACAGGAGCCACAGCATCACACAGTGGAAGATTCTGGGCTCTTCTAGGTGGCTGGAGAAAGGAGTCTTGGTCAGTTTGAGGCGGTCCTTGAGGAGAGAATGACAGGCTTCGATGTCACAGGACTGAGACAACGTCCTCCTGCAAGTCCAGGAATGAGGAAAGAGAGCAACTGACCACAGAGAAGGAACTTTCCGCCCATAGGTCGTCAGAGCCCTTGGAGAACAAACACTTCCACTTTTCACGTGGGGTATCGCGGAGTCACAGTCAGTGAGAAAGACACACCCTCTGCTCCTGAACCCTATCTGTGCCATTTGTTTCTTGTTAGTCTGATGGTCAGGGACAAGGCTTAGCAGGTAAAAGCACTTGCCACTAAGCCTGATGACCTAAGTGTGATCCCCAGGACCCACATTGTGGAAAGGATGAACTGGCTCTCATAAGTTGTCCTTTGCCCCCACTTATGCATGGTGGCATACTCATACCATAGTGAGCACACACACACACACAATAAAAAATAAATGCAATCAAGTTTTTTTTAATGTATGAAGCAATAGGGACACTCATTGCCTAAGCAGCTGCTCTGTTGCTGTTAGAGAATATCCTGACAAAATAGCTTAAAGAAAGAAAGGTTTATTTTGGTTCAGAGTTTGAAATTACAGTCCATTGTGGTGAGACCCATTGATGGCTAACAGGGTATGCAATAAATAGAGTAAGAGTTGGTAGAATGTTCTCAGCTCACCGTATAGTCTAGGATCTCAGTCTATGGGACGGTGTTAACATAGCCATGATGATCATCCACTGGCATATGGTATGTTAGTCAGGGCTTTCTAAAGGGATTGAGCTGGTAGACTATGGTTCTATGTGGGTAGTCCGACAATGCTTGTCTCACAGTAGCGAGGACGAAAAACTGGTAGCTGCTACTTCACCGGGCTGGATATCACAGCAGTTCCAGTCTGGTGCTGAAGGAAGGAGAATTACTAGAGAGCTACTGCTCCTCGGTCTATACTGAACGTTTGAAGAAACCGGTTCTACCCCCAGTGAAGGAAGGAAGCGGCAGCATGATGCTGTTGGGAGTCTCCTGTTCCTCACAGGAGATGGGTGAGCCCATGAGCTCTTACCGCTGCCTGACACTGGGCGGTCTCAGTGAATAGATGGGATCTGAAGACTCTTCTGGTAAGAGGTGTGTGTGATGGGGGTACAGTTTCTCCTCTTCTGTTCTGCTCCTCAGCTCTAAGTCCTTAACCAACTGGCTTTGACAACACACACTGGAGTCTTCATCAGCTGCCTCTTGCATCACTTCTGAGGTTTATCATTGTGCTCAGGGAAAGGAGGAGGGAGTAAGCCAACACCATCTTTTCTGTACCAGAGGTCTGCCAGTCACTCTGTAATGTTCTGACCACTAGGTGGAGAAGTGTACCCATACTCTCCTTATAACCCATCTCATAAGCAGGGGTAGAGTGTGGGCATCAGATACTTTTGAGATAGAAGCAGACCATTCCATTAGTCTTTTTAGCCGTTGCCATGAATGCTGGCATTAGGATCCCATCATGATTAGAGTGCTACCAGAAAATTTGGGACTTTTTTTTTTTTCTGAATCTGATTGTTACTACTTTAATATTTTTTTTTTCAGGGGGAAGCTTACAGGCTCCTATTGTTATCTACTACCTATACCCAAACACTTGCTTCTAAATAAAAATGATTTTTAAATATCTATGTGTGCATCAGTTTATGTGCACCACACATGTGCCTGGCATCTGTAGAGGTCAGAAAAGGAGATTAGATTCTCTGGAACTGGCAGTTGTGAGTCACTTGATCTGGGTACTGGTAACTGAACTTAAGACCTGTTCAAGAGCGGGACGTTCTTAACCACTGAACCATTGCTCCAGCTCCCAGGCACCTGCTTCTGAGCTATTTCTAAGGAGAAGAAAGTGACAACATGGTCATGGGTGTTGCTGGAGGAAGGGTATGGATACACACGGGAAGGAAGGGGTATCCTAGAGTGGACACGGAGACATTAGGTATCTCCATGGATTGAGGGATAGGTTCAATGAGAGTCCATGCTTCAAAAAGATAAGCTGGAGAATGATAGAGAAAGGCATGAACGTTGGCTTTTAACCTCTACATGGGTACACATTGGCAGTAGCATATACACACAGAGAGAAAAAGACAGGGACAGAGACGGACAGAGACACATCCACAGGGAGACAGAGACACATCTACAATCTACAGAAAGACAGAGACACAGAGAGACACAGAGACAAAGGGGAGAAATAGACGGAACAGGAGACAAAGACACAGAGGAGGTAGCATCTCTGTTGATAAACACAGGAGCACAGACTTGTGCTTTACTGCAAAGTTGGACAATTTCAACAGTGTGAACGTCACACCTGGCAGCGTAACCTGCTGCCTTTTGGGAAGAGAAGGCTGTAGACATCCTTGGGGACAGAGGACACAGGTGCTCCAGATGAGAGGTTGCCCCTGAATGCTCCTGAATGTATGCAGATTTCTTAATCCTGGGGAGACGGATCCTGCTGAGGCCTCACCCCACAAAAGTGAGGGAGGCATAATGCCGGTCTCGCTATGTCCCTAATGTGAGAATGTGAGCGTCTTCTGGGAGGAGCTTGGGTTCTCAGGTGGCTGTGCATCTTGGAGTCCTGCTGTGGAGTCTGTATGAAGAGAAGAGAGTCACAGCAGGCCACAGGGAGGGGACTCGAGGAAATAAAAAGGATCATGCAGAGCACTCATTATAAGACATATGCTCACTCTCCTTCCATGAAGGGTTTGGAAGGCATCAACACAGCAGTTACTGCTGCTCATCCAATCAATAAACATACTCTCCCTAGCAGGAAAACACTTATCATCTTACCCATTTTACAGAGAGGTAAAATAAGTCCTGGAGAGGTAGTGTCTTTTACAAGGTTACCCATCTAGCCAGGAGGCCATCTATGCTGTTGTGCTGAATTCAGAGGGTTAGTGATGTAGAGGCCAGCCTCATGGTTAGGGTGCTAGAGAGATGAAGACAGTTTGCTAGATCCATCCATGAGTGTACATTAGCCAGAGGGAGACAGAACTGTAGTTTTCCCAGACCCCATCTTCTCCTTGTGATAGAAATGGCACCAGGCATGAAATGCCCTCACAGACATGCATGGGGCTTCCTGAATACACAGTATTGTGTGCTGTTGGAGACTCCAATGACTATGGAGTGAGACCACGTTCTGTGCCAGCCACTTCAGAACTTCAGTTAACTGCAATGTTTCTCAAAAGCATCCTTGGCACCCATAGTGCCCACCTCCTTGCCTCCCATTTTTTCTTCAGCTCTTAGCAATCCCAACAGATTTCTTCCCCTCAAGACTCCCAGACCTGCTGGTGTTGAGATCAGTTTGATCCAATCCTTTAAATCTTAGTGTCATTCTCGCCCCTGGCCTCCTGCAGCTATACGTGTCTGAAACATCAATTCCCCTCCTTCACACCACATCACCTGTGACCAAAGGACCCAGATCTGCACCTTTCTCATAGGTGGCTCTTTCAGTGCCTTTTCTTCCCTGCCTTCTTGTTTTTTGAACCTCAACTTCCTAACTCTGAGTGATGGAGGGTTTAGGGCTCTCTCTGTTGGCTCTTATTTGTGGTTTTGTTTACTTGCAGATGTTAAGCTGGGGAGTACCCATGTGGATCCATTTTTTAATTCCAGATTTGGAAATCCATTCATTATCGCCATTTGCATGTCTCAGAAGCTCCTCATTCTTGTAGGAGTCAGAGTGATGGTGACCAACTTGCAGGGCTAACCATGTCCATCATTGACACACTAAATTCTTTTTTTTAAAATATTTATTTATTATTTATTATGTATACAATAGTCTATCTGTGTGTATGCCAAAGGCCAGAAGAGGGCACCAGACCTTATTACAGATGGTTGTGAGCCACCATGTGGTTGCTGGGAATTGAACTCAGGACCTTTGGAAGAGCAGGCAATGCTCTTAACCACTGAGCCATCTCTCCAGCCCCCGACACACTAAATTCTTTAAGTTATTCAGAGAGACCACAGTAGCATAGTCTGTGACTTTTATGATCACGTTGCCATTTATATTGATCTATGGAGTCTTTGATGTGTACAACATCTGTGAGGCAGAGACAGTGAGTTGTCTTGGATCAATGAATTCTGCTAAGTTGCTACTTGTTGATGTTTTCATCAATATTTATTCGGAGTTCAAGTCCCATCCAGGTCCATCAGCGGGACTTTGGACTATGTGGATTTTAGAGACAAGGCCTCACTCCGTATCCCTAGCTGGTCTAGAAGCTACAGGCCTCTTGCCTGATCAGGTGTATTAGCTGTGAAGTGTATTCAGAAGCAGTGCAGACTCCTTCTGGGGCGCTTTACAGAGGGAGAAGTAGTAGAGTATAAAAATTCCGGGGGGTGGGGTCTTAGCTAGGTTATGGGTCATCAGGTGCCATCAGTGAGATGGAGACCCAGGGTGATGGCTAAGCTTGGTTGTCATGGGGGAAGAGAGAACCTCAGTTGAGTATTGCCTCTATCAGATTGGCCAGTGGGTATGAGTGTGGGGTCATTTTCATGATTACTAATAAATAGATGTGTGCCCACCTAACTGTGGCAGGTTGAAGGGCTCTCTATCCAGGCCCTCGCACCGCTAATGTGAAGCCCTTTTCCCTTCCTATTCCCTTATAAACACCATTAGATTACATTTCTAAAGCTAGTTCCAGTAGCCTGCAGCCACTCTGAGCATGAGACTTTGATGGCAGGAGAGCGGTTTCTGGTGGTTGCAGCTGAAACATCTGGAGAGCTGGGGCGTGGCCAGATCACTATAGAAGCTGCCCCTGAGCACAACAAAGTTGGCATTCTTGTATCAAGCATTACGCACGTCCCCGTGTCTCTGTCTGCCTGTGTGTGCGTGTGTTTTTAAATCTCCAGCCTGGTTCCCAGCTCGCATACCGTAGGTGTAGAGCAGACACTGTGTTTTACAAGCTCCCAAGGCCCATTTCCTTCTTTGGTCACTGAGACCAAATGCTAAGGCTCAGCAATCAAAACTGGCTACAGTGGCTAACCTGTCTAACCAGGACTTGCCAACTCAGCTAGCCCAGACTCCCCCTTTTCTCCTTAAAACCCTACTGCTGCAAAAACACCTGCTGCTGTTGTCTGCCTCTGCTTGATCCA